TTTTGTTTGCTTGTGTTGTTTGTGTTTATTTGTTTGTTTTGTTACCTTGTGTGCTTGCGTTACTTGTGTTACTTGTGTTGTGTGCTTGTGTTACTTGTTTGCTTGCGTTACTTGTGTGCTTGTGTTACTTGTTTGCTTGCGTTACTTGTTTGCTTGTGTTACTTGTGTGCTTGTGTTACTTGTGTGCTTGTGTTACTTGTGTTACTTGTGTTGTGTGCTTGTGTTACTTGTGTGCTTGTGTTACTTGTGTGCTTGTGTTACTTGTGTTATTTTGTGTTGTGTGCTTGTGTTTGCTTGTTGTGTGCTTGTTTGCTTGTGTTACTTGTGTGCTTGTGTTACTTGTGTGCTTGTGTTACTTGTGTGCTTGCGTTACTTGTGTTACTTGTGTTGTGTGCTTGTGTTACTTGTTTGCTTGTGTTACTTGTGTGCTTGTGTTGCTTGTTTGCTTGTGCTACTTGTGTTGTGTGCTTGTGTTACTTCTATACAAGTGCTCCTTCCATGTTGGTGGTCCTTACTGATGCTGATGAAGGGCTCTTGATTCAAGGAACTGCAGCTATCCTCCTTTTCCTTGGACCGAGTTTGATTACCTCTTAATATTAAATATAATCTCCATTAATGTTTTCCAGAAAATTAAGGAACAGTATCGTGACAACAACAATTCACCATTAACTCACATGTCAGAAATTAAATAAACGATAATTTGGTCCATCCTGGAACATTATTAGTACACAAGTGACTTTACAGTGGTCCAGGTGGAACAAAATATCTTCATTTTCATCTCTGATTGGCTGGTTAACAACGAAGTATTCCAGGTGTGCTATTTTCATTTGCGTACGTCTCGTTATTTAAATTAATGCATACTTAAAATTGTACTATTGTTCACTTAGCTACCTCACTTTTTGTACATTTAAAAAAGGCTTACTCAGTAATCTATGCCTAGTTCTTAAGTAGTCTGTCAACATTAGGATTATTCTACCACAAAATGCACCGCGTATTAGTGGCATTCTTTTGTGCTAAACTGGTGTTGTATTGTATTAAAAGATATTTTGTGTGTAATATTACGTGTGAGACAGTTGGCTCCAGTGAAGCCTGAGGGACAGTCTTGGACACAGACTCCAGTAGCGGGATGGCAAGTGACACTATTGGCACACTGGCACTCGTGCAAGCACCTGGCACCCCATTTACCAGCCGGGCACTCCTCGGAACAGTCGGCGCCAACGTAGCCTGGCTTGCACTCGCACACTCCACTCTAGGGAAAGCAATAACAACGTCAGGAGATAGCATCAGAAAGAATTCCTTTCGTTTAATATTACAACTTATTACACAGAACTCAGGGTACAAACAAGTGGTGGTTACCTCAGAATAACACTTGGCAGTGGTCTGAGCCTGGCACTGGCACTGGTGACGACAGTTGGGGCCCCAGGTGAGAGCTGGACAGGGCATGTTGCACTTGGGGCCAAAGCGTCCAGGGTCACACTCGCAGAAGCCAAACACTCTGTTGCATCGCATATTAGGGCACATCATGGGGCACCGACGCTCACACTGGCCACCATAGTATCCTGACCAACACAAATATATCTTACATTTACAGTTTTTTAATTGCCATGCAATATTTGATCGGCTTATCTTAATTATCATTGATAAATCCAAAGAACTTGAAACATTCAAGATAACTCACGAAATCGTAATAACACGACTGTAAACTAATCATGGAATGAGTGGAACTAACTCATGGTAAGCGAGTCCGAGAATTTTAGGACTTTCACACCATGGGGTTTAATCCCCTACTCGTTCCATGATTTTACACGCAACATTTTGAGTGAGGTTCATATGGTGCCTTCACTGTTGCTATGTTATGGTGTTGTGAGGAGCATCACAATGCTAGTAACTCACCGGCTGGACATCCGTCTTGACACAGGTCACCAGACACTCCCGGGGGACACGTGCAGTTGCCCGATACGGGGTCACACGTGCCTCCATTCTCACACCGACACACCTGTGATGAGAAACATGCCACTGCTGACAACCCAGCTCATTACTTCATTCCCATAATTCATATTATCGGTGCGTCACATCATTCACAGGGTTAAGATGATTTATCTTCGGCTTCTTACAACTTTAGACATAGAATAACGTTGTATTATACTTAATGTATGGGGAAGGGGGGTCTTGATGCTAGTAAGGGCTCTTGATCCAACGAATTGGACTTGTCCTCCCCTTTCTTGGATCGAATCTGAGTGCCTTCTATTTCCCAAGGCGTTGCATGACCCCCTACGAGTTTACCTCTTCCCTCTTAATAAACAGTGAAACGTATAAAGAGTTCTGTAATGTTTATTCGTTACTAGAGAAGTAAACCCGTAAACTATCTACCATACATGTAGTGTTAATCATTACTGTAAGAGAATAATTAGATGGATATTAAATGTAAATGACCCTTAATACTTCCCTCTCTGTTGACATGGTTTAGTATACTTTTATACACGAAGCAGGACTCTGTCTCTCCCACACACACACACACATCCCATCTTACTCCCTGGAAACGCGCACACAAATGCAGCGTAATGCGATCTTTTATTGACAACGTTTCGCCCACGCTGTGGGCTTTTTTTGGGAGTGACTCGGAAAATGCATGCTGAAAATGGTATAAAATACCGATACTCAACTGTTGCACATGTGTCTTTCTCATCGACTCGGAAAATCCCATTGCATGGGAGGTAACGTTGTCAGTTAAGTATATCTCATTTGTGTGTTTCCATCGTGTTAGTTTTCTGCGACATTTCTCTTCACGTTAATGACGAACCTTCAATGTGTTGTCTGAGGGAACGACTTACAGTAGGATCCCCGTATCAGCGGTTTCAGTATCTACAACAGGGCCTTGTAGTGTACCTCCGCATATACGTGGGTCCTACTGTACTCTCAAACAGAATAGTTCCATCGTTATTCACTGTGCTTCCCCTCTGTTCCAGTGGTCATCGTCCCAGAGGACTGATTCCAGCCCAGGCCTACTGGTTGATAATTATTTGATCAGCCAGGCTGCTGTTGACAGCAATGTGTAGTATCTGATTTCTAATGTGTATACCACTGACATTAACGGCGTCTCCCCCCAAAAAAAACGGTCCACTATCCACAATCTCCCCCAAAATGCGCTAAAATACTCACGATTTCCCACAATACGGAATGTTGTCCATGATCTACAATGCGATACACTGCCCATGATCATGATCTGTAATATGGCACTGCTCATGGTCTAACACTACCGTATACTGGCCACAATCTCCCACAATACAACTCCGATTGACTCACACAATCAACGATCTCTCAACATGTGGTACCCTCCCAAAATCTTCCACAAATCAACACCCTGTCCACGATCTACCACAATACAGTTCATAACCATAACTTCAGTAGCACTGCTAACTCGCAGCACCACATTTCACTGCTAACTTGTGGCACTACATTTCACTGCCTCTGCCTTTCCCGCGACTGCCGCTCGACCTCCTGCCCTCAGTAATACAGCCATTAATCTCCACCATTCACTACCAGTGGCGTGCGTTCCGCGTGGCCAAGCCGTCTCAATAGACCTTTCCAACTTTCGTTTATACAACGACTTCCTTACCCTGCGTAATCTCAGCATTGATTTATGCCTAACTTTATCCTTTCGTTGCCAAACACAACTCAGGTTGTTATTAGTCTGTATTTTGTAAAGTAAAAGGACACAAGTGCAACTAATGTGACATTTTATTGTGGCAACGTTTCGCTCTCCAGGAGCTTTGTCAAGCTCCTGGAGAGCTATAGTGTCCTCCCCAACCTTCCACCCATTCGCCATGGTTGGTAAACAGTGGTTAAAGACAAGTGTGAGTAAACACATGCAACATTTCGCCCAAGTTCGAACGAAAAGTTGTTTTAAAAGATTCTCTGCTCTCAGTGTTTATTTCCATTAATTTTGGTGCTTCCTTAAGACATCAATAACAACAATATTCTTTGTATACATACACCAAACTTTCCTCTCTTCACGAGGCTTCTAACCCAGCTTCTGAGGCTTTTACCAACAGCCTGACTGATCAAAACTAGGGGCTTTCATTAGCCTCCACCACTCGTATATGTACGTGAGTAAATCTGTGTATATTTGTGTGTATCGTGTTGTGCTGTGTTGTTTATGTTCAGTGTGTTGTGTTATATTGTGTTGCGTTGTGTTTGTTACAATTGGTTAAGTGTTATGTTGTGTGTTAGGGCGTATTTGTATTTGTGTGAAGAGAGTAACAACAGGAGAGAAAGCAATTCACCTGATTACAGCCAGGACCATAAAACCCAGCGGGACAGGTGAGAGAGCAGGAGGGGCCGGTGGTACCTGGGGGACACACACAGCCTGATTGATCACACTGGCCAGGACAGTCTGCACACGTCAGCGTGCAGTTGGGACCAAAGTATCCGGGAACACACCCTGTATACAAATATACATATGTATTAGCCACCAGGTGTTCAGTATATTTGTAATATATCTTTTATTCTGGTTTCTAATTTGTATTACTCTTCAGTTGTATGTTTACCATTTATTATTCAGTGAAAAATACTAGTGGAAATAACTTAAATTATTTGCTGATATTCGGCCTGTGTTTCTGTTTTGAAACCCTTTGTTAAAAACTCTCCCGTGTTATACTAGCATGAAGACAAACACTATAAATGTTTTAGGAAAAATATACAGTTGAAACTAAGAGGCTTCCTTGTTAAGGCTACTTTACGTTAAGGTAAATTGGCATACTGGCTAAACGATGTACCTTTAAAAGATAACGGGTCCTCACACCAGCACTAGTTTGAAATATTTCACTCTCTCTTCGTCATTTTAGGTCAAGGTATGACAGTTTAACAATGCGTATATATCCACACACACACACACACACACACACACACGCCCGCAAGTGATGTAGTGGAGGCAGGAACCATACATAGCTTTAAGACGAGGTATGACAGCTCAGGGAGCAGAGAGAGAGAGAGAGAGAGAGAGAGAGAGAGAGAGAGAGAGAGAGAGAGAGAGAGAGGGCATAGCAGGGATCATTGAAGAGGCGGGGGCCGGAAGCTGAGTCTCGACCCCTGCAGCCACAATTAGGCGAATACACGCCAGGAGCCGAGTCTCGACCCCTGCAACCACAATTAGGCGGGCACACGCCAGGAGCCGAGTCTCGATCCCTGCAACCACAAATAGGTGAGCACACACAGCGAGTTGATGTTAAACATTTAAACTGTTAGAAAAACGCATTCTTTCTGTAGGACGTGAGGACTGTATTGAGGAGAGGTTGACTGGAGAGAAGACCGAGGAAGAAGTACTACTCACGGGTGTGTATTGTGGTGACCTTGGAGTGCTCGGCGTAGGAGAGGTCGCTCCAGAGGTCGTAGCTGGATGCTTTAGTGTCTCCAAGCAGGGAGAAGTCATCCTCCAGGGTGGTGCTCAGGTCCGGGTCATCGTTAGTCTCCGGGGATGGGAGTCGCTCTGGGTATTCGCCTGTGTAGTCGTAGTTCACCACTGCGGTGTAGGGAGGTTCTCATTAGGCTATTTTGTTAAGGAGACTGGTAATATTAAATTACCCTGCAAGGGAGATGCTTAATTCGAATTTCCCAGGCACTGTGTGACACGTGTTTCGTTCTTTCCCATGTATATAATAATTACAAAGATGGATTTGGGGATACCGGTTAGCTGGACTTGAGTCCTGGAGGTGGGAAGGGCAGTGCCTGAAATCTGAAGGAAGGGTGGGCATGTTGACACTTCTGACAAGACAGTGATTGAATGAATGATGGTGAATATATTTCCTTGTCATCCAGCCTCGGTGGGAGACGACTGTGTGTTAATAATAATAAATCAAAATTATTATTAATCTCAGGAATATATTAGTACTTGCTTCGTAAGTCACTGTTTATCCGACAATAATTAAACTGAAGGATTTAATATGTCAACATAATGAGAATGAGGAATGAAATTGTGATATCAGAGCTATCACATTGAAAATCATAATCACATTTTTTAAATATCAGAAAATCACTCTTCAAATGAACCTTAATATCAAAAAACTAATTATGGAACTAGACAATACTGTATTATTTATTATTTCAGTATGAAGATCAATTTACTTTCGACAATGTTATTCATTCATAGGTCAATGAAAAAAATTTTCTCCCATGTATATGAGGTCTAAAGTAGACTTCTCTTGTCTCTCTAGTAGAGGATGTCTAGAACTGTCTAATAAACATTATTAATCCACTTTGGATCACACACACACTAATTTTGACCAAACAACGTAAAAATATATACACAGAGGTGCATTTCTCTCTGCATATACTACGACTTTAGTTTAATTCCTATTTTAGTGATTAAAATATTCTTGTCTGGTGGTGAAGAGGTTACGTTCAACTTTAATGACCCCGTTGTAATTGACTGGCTTTTAGCCCCCATTAACTATTCTTGCAATTTAAACCAAAAAAAAATGCTGGGCTCTTTGTCCCTAAATTATGCTTGGGGACGTTACTGTTCGAAGTACAGGTTACCAGACCCCCGACCAGAGTAATGGTGACCCTATTTGGTTAAGACGCAAAGTGAGAAAGTGTAGAAATGGCTGGTTATAATTATAACCTTAATTTTTAAATGGGTGAACGGGTAAGCCAGTGGAAGGCCTCGGTCAGATGACCAAAAGCTCCAGTGGCGGGTTATTATACGACTAAGACCCGCATAAGGAAACACACTACTTGTTTCCTGACGAATCTTACGTAACCTGTAAAAATGAGATATGACTGTCCTGGTCTTGGTCTTGGCTAGTTTAAAATACTTAAAACATTATTTTCGTGTTATTGAGAACAATGCCATAATAGGCTTATACGATATGTAAATGCTCAAATCTATTTTTTTTTGTATTGTATATTTTTAATTAACATAATCTAGAAAAATATAAAGTGTCTGGTTAAAGTTCTTCTCTTACAGGTAAAATAAAATACTATGTATTATGTACACAAGCTACGAATACATATTATTTTTTATTATCACACTGGCCGATTCCCACCAAGGCAGGGTGGCCCGAAAAAGAAAAACTTTCACCATCATTCACTCCATCACTGTCTTGCCAGAAGGGTGCTTTACACTACAGTTTTTAAACTGCAACATTAACACCCCTCCTTCAGAGTGCAGGCACTGTACTTCCCATCTCCAGGACTCAAGTCCGGCCTGCCGGTTTCCCTGAACCCCTTCATAAATGTTACTTTGCTCACACTCCAACAGCACGTCAAGTATTAAAAACCATTTGTCTCCTTTCACTCCTATCAAACACGCTCACGCATGCCTGCGGGAAGTCCAAGCCCTCGCACACAAAACCTCCTTTACCCCCTCTCTCCAACCTTTCCTAGGCCGACCCCTACCCCGCCTTCCTTCCACTACAGACTGATACACTCTTGAAGTCATTCTGTTTCGCTCCATTCTCTCCACATGTCCGAACCACCTCAACAACCCTTCCTCAGCCCTCTGGACAACAGTTTTGGTAATCCCGCACCTCCTCCTAACTTCCAAACTACGAATTCTCTGCATTATATTCACACCACACATTGCCCTCAGACATGACATCTCCACTGCCTCCAGCCTTCTCCTCGCTGCAACATTCATCACCCATGCTTCACACCCATATAAGAGCGTTGGTAAAACTATACTCTCATACATTCCCCTCTTTGCCTCCAAGGACAAAGTTCTTTGTCTCCACAGACTCCTAAGTGCACCACTCACTCTTTTTCCCTCATCAATTCTATGATTCACCTCATCTTTCATAGACCCATCCGCTGACACGTCCACTCCCAAATATCTGAATACATTCACCTCCTCCATACTCTCTCCCTCCAATCTGATATTCAATCTTTCATCACCTAATCTTTTTGTTATCCTCATAACCTTACTCTTTCCTGTATTCACCTTTAATTTTCTTCTTTTGCACACCCTACCAAATTCATCCACCAATCTCTGCAACTTCTCTTCAGAATCTCCCAAGAGCACAGTGTCATCAGCAAAGAGCAGCTGTGACAACTCCCACTTTGTGTGTGATTCTTTATCTTTTAACTCCACGCCTCTTGTCAAGACCCTCGCATTTACTTCTCTTACAACCCCATCTATAAATATATTAAACAACCACGGTGACATCACACATCCTTGTCTAAGGCCTACTTTTACTGGGAAATAATTTCCCTCTTTCCTACATACTCTAACTTGAGCCTCACTATCCTCGTAAAAACTCTTCACTGCTTTCAGTAACCTACCTCCTACACCATACACTTGCAACATCTGCCACATTGCCCCCCTATCCACCCTGTCATACGCCTTTTCCAAATCCATAAATGACACAAAGACCTCTTTAACCTTATCTAAATACTGTTCACTTATGTTTCACTGTAAACACCTGGTCCACACACCCCCTACCTTTCCTAAAGCCTCCTTGTTCATCTGCTATCCTATTCTCCGTCTTGCTCTTAATTCTTTCAATAATAACTCTACCATACACTTTACCAGGTATACTCAGCTGACTTATCCCCCTATAATTTTTGCACTCTCTTTTATCCCCTTTGCCTTTATACAAAGGAACTATGCATGCTCTCTGCCAATCCCTAGGTACCTTACCCTCTTCCATACATTTATTAAATAATTGCACCAACCACTCCAAAACTATATCCCCACCTGCTTTTAACATTTCTATCTTTATCCCATCAATCCCGGCTGCCTTACCCCCTTTCATTTTACCTACTGCCTCACGAACTTCCCCACACTCACAACTGGCTCTTCCTCACTCCTACAAGATGTTATTCCTCCTTGTCCTATACACGAAATCACAGCTTCCCTATCTTCATCAACATTTAACAATTCCTCAAAATATTCCCTCCATCTTCCCAATACCTCTAACTCTCCATTTAATAACTCTCCTCTCCTATTTTTAACTGACAAATCCATTTGTTCTCTAGGCTTTCTTAACTTGTTAATCTCACTCCAAAACTTTTTCTTATTTTCAACAAAATTTGTTGATAACATGTCACCCACTCTCTCATTTGCTCTCTGTTTACATTGCTTCACCACTCTCTTAACCTCTCTCTTTTTCTCCATATACTCTTCCCTCCTTGCATCACTTCTACTTTGTAAAAACTTCTCATATGCTAACTTTTTCTCCCTTACTACTCTCTTTACATCATCATTCCACCAATCGCTCCTCTTCCCTCCCGCACCCACTTTCCTGTAACCACAAACTTCTGCTGAACACTAACACTACATTTTTAAACCTACCCCATACCTCTTCGACCCCATTGCCTATGCTCTCATTAGCCCATCTATCCTCCAATAGCTGTTTATATCTTACCCTAACTGCCTCCTCTTTTAGTTTATAAACCTTCACCTCTCTCTTCCCTGATGCTTCTATTCTCCTTGTATCCCATCTACCTTTTACTCTCAGTGTAGCTACAACTAGAAAGTGATCTGATATATCTGTGGCCCCTCTATAAACAGTTACATCCTGAAGTCTACTCAACAGTCTTTTATCTACCAATACATAATCCAACAAACTACTGTCATTTCGCCCTACATCATATCTTGTATACTTATTTATCCTCTTTTTCTTAAAATATGTATTACCTATAACTAAACCCCTTTCTATACAAAGTTCAATCAAAGGGCTCCCATTATCATTTACACCTGGCACCCCAAACTTACCTACCACAACCTCTCTAAAAGTTTCTCCTACTTTAGCATTCAGGTCCCCTACCACAATTACTCTCTCACTTGGTTCAAAGGCTCCTATACATTCACTTAACATCTCCCAAAATCTCTCTCTCTCCTCTGCATTCCTCTCTTCTCCAGGTGCATACACGCTTATTATGACCCACTTCTCGCATCCAACCTTTACTTTAATCCACATAATTCTTGAATTTACACATTCATATTCTCTTTTCTCCTTCCATAACTGATCATTTAACATTACTGCTACCCCTTCCTTTGCTCTAACTCTCTCAGATACTCCAGATTTAATCCCATTTATTTCCCCCCACTGAAACTCCTCTACCCCCTTCAGCTTTGTTTCGCTTAGGGCCAGGACATCCAACTTCTTTTCATTCATAACATCAGCAATCATCTGTTTCTTGTCATCCGCACTACATCCGCGCACATTTAAGCATCCCAGTTTTATAAAGTTTTTCTTCTTCTCTTTTTTAGTAAAGGTCTACAGGAGAAGGGGTTACTAGCCCATTGCTCCCGGCATTTTAGTCGCCTCATACGACACGCATGGCTTACGGAGGAAAGATTCTTTTCCATTTCCCCATGGACAATAGAAGAAATAAAGAAGAACAAGAGCTATTTAGAAAAAGGAGAAAAACCTAGATGTATGTATATATATATGCATGTGCGTGTCTGTGAAGTGTGATCAAAGTGTAAGTAGGAGTAGCAAGATATCCCTGTTATCTAGCGTGTTTATGAGACAGAAAAAGAAACCAGCAATCCTACCATCATGTAAAACAGTTACAGGTTTCTGTTTCACAGTCATCTGGCAGGACGGTAGTACTTCCCTGGGTGGTTGCTGTCTACCAACCACATATTTACATTAATTTAACAAAAATTATGCTAAATATAATAATGACTTACAAGTTAATATGATTAACTGCAGTCTTCTTTCATGAACCTGTTGTAACTATCACTTCTTTAATAATTTACAATTACCTCACAAACTAACTGAAAATGAAAACTGAATGAAGGGTTGAACAGCTATTGTTGATGAATGAGGATGGACGGAGGTGTCGTCAATGTTCATTTCCAATTTGTGGTTTAAATCTGGCTTAGCTGACATGTAGTAAGAATTCACATACAGTAAAAGGAAACTCATTGGTACGACGTTTCACTTGTATGAGACTTATGTGTTACACAAAGCCTCATGAAAGTGAAACATCGTAGTAATAAAGGTCTCCCATTAGTGAATACGTCTTCTTTCCAATTTGTGGGAGAGTTATGACCTCATTCTAAGTGATGAGCGAGGAAACTGGGGTAATACTTACTGTCGCAGTGTGTGCGATCGACGAGGACGTAACCTCTACGACAGGTGCAGATGAAGGAGCCTTGTGTGTTGCGACACTGTTGCTCACATCCACCATTCTCCCGAGCACACTCATCCACATCTGTGAGACCACGCTAAGTTAGTGTGAGATCGCACCTGGCTAGTGTGAGACCATATCTAATTATTACGAGACCACAGCAGATTGTCGAGAGACCACACTAGATAACACCACCCTGGGTCATTTGTAAGAACACCAGATTGAGAGATCCTTCCATGATATTGGAGGAGGGGGGGAGTGTAGCCCTGGGTGGGTGGGTGATGGAGGTATTCTCATCTGTACAAGTGAAAGTTTCAGTGTTGAGAATATGCAGTAGTCCTGGGTGGATGAAGGAACTCACCTGTACAGGTGAAGGTGTCAGCACTGAGAGTGTAGCCCTTGGTGCAAGCACAAGCATAGCCTCCAGCAGTGTTGACACACTCTTGCTGACACCGGTGAGTCTTCGCCTCACACTCATCCTCATCCTGTCACAGAAAAAAATAAATCACAATATGTGCCATATTTATGCTTGCGAAGGAAACCAGAAGAATGGTCTGCTTATTCCTCTAAGAAAAAGGAGGAGTAGATGTAAAACAGAAAGAGACAGGCGCTCCCTTTACAGGCGACGGAAAAGAATAACAGAGCGGCTAAAAGAGGTCAATATATCTGAAATGCGTAGGGAGACACTGGTCAGAGAAATAGCAAGCATCGAACTTAAGCTAAAAGAATCCTTTAGGAGTCAGGAATCGCGGGAAGAACTAAAAGCCATAAATGAAATCGAAAGAAACCCAAAGTATTTCTTCTCCTATGCCAAATCAAAATCGAGAACAACGTCCAGTATTGGGCCCCTACTTAAACAAGATGGGTCCTACACAGATGACAACAAGGAAATGAGTGAGCTACTCAAGTCCCAATATGACTCAGTTTTTAGCAAGCCGCTAACCAGACAGAGTCGAAGATCAAAATGAATTTTTTATGAGAGAGCCACAAAATTTGATTAACACAAGCCTATCCGATGTTATCCTGACGCCAAATGACTTCGAACAGGCGATAAATGACATGCCCATGCACTCTGCCCCAGGCCAGACTCATGGAACTCTGTGTTCATCAAGAACTGCAAGAAGCCCCTATCACGAGCCTTTTCCATCCTATGGAGAGGGAGCATGGACACGGGGGTCGTCCCACAGTTACTAAAAACAACAGACATAGCCCCACTCCACAAAGGGGGCAGTAAAGCAACAGCAAAGAACTACAGACCAATAGCACTAACATCCCATATCATAAAAATCTTTGAAAGGGTCCTAAGAAGCAAGATCACCACGCATCTAGAAACCCATCAGTTACACAACCCAGGGCAACATGGGTTTAGAACAGGTCGCTCCTGTCTGTCTCAACTATTGGACCACTACGACAAGGTCCTAAATGCACTAGAAGACAAAAAGAATGCAGATGTAATACATACAGACTTTGCAAAAGCCTTCGACAAGTGTGACCATGGCGTAATAGCGCACAAAATGCGTGCTAAAGGAATAACAGGAAAAGTCGGTCGATGGATCTATAATTTCCTCACTAACAGAACACAGAGAGTAGTCGTCAACAGAGTAAAGTCCGAGGCAGCTACGGTGAAAAGCTCTGTTCCACAAGGCACAGTACTCGCTCCCATCTTGTTCCTCATCCTCATATCCGACATAGACAAGGATGTCAGCCACAGCACCGTGTCTTCCTTTGCAGATGACACCCGAATCTGCATGACAGTGTCTTCCATTGCAGACACTGCAAAGCTCCAGGCAGACATCAACCAAATCTTTCAGTGGGCTGCAGAAAACAATATGAAGTTCAACGATGAGAAATTTCAATTACTCAGATATGGTAAACATGAGGAAATTAAATCTTCATCAGAGTACAAAACAAATTCTGGCCACAAAATAGAGCGAAACACCAACGTCAAAGACCTGGGAGTGATCATGTCGGAGGATCTCACCTTCAAGGACCATAACATTGTATCAATCGCATCTGCTAGAAAAATGACAGGATGGATAATGAGAACCTTCAAAACTAGGGAGGCCAAGCCCATGATGACACTCTTCAGGTCACTTGTTCTATCTAGGCTGGAATATTGCTGCACACTAACAGCACCTTTCAAGGCAGGTGAAATTGCCGACCTAGAAAATGTACAGAGAACTTTCACGGCGCGCATAACGGAGATAAAACACCTCAATTATTGGGAGCGCTTGAGGTTCCTAAACCTGTATTCCCTGGAACGCAGGAGGGAGAGATACATGATTATATACACCTGGAAAATCCTAGAGGGACTAGTACCGAACTTGCACACGAAAATCACCCACTACGAAAGCAAAAGACTTGGCAGACGATGCACCATCCCCCCAATGAAAAGCAGGGGTGTCACTAGCACGTTAAGAGACCATACAATAAGTGTCAGGGGCCCGAGACTGTTCAACTGCCTCCCAGCACACATAAGGGGGATTACCAACAGACCCCTGGCAGTCTTCAAGCTGGCACTGGACAAGCACCTAAAGTCAGTTCCGGATCAGCCGGGCTGTGGCTCGTATGTTGGTTTGCGTGCAGCCAGCAGCAACAGCCTGGTTGATCAGGCTCTGATCCACCAGGAGGCCTGGTCTCAGACCGGGCCGCGGGGGCGTTGACCCCCGGAACTCTCTCCAGGTAAACTCCAGGTAACTGGTAAGGATAAAGTCAAGGTCAGGCCAAGTCATGAGTGCTCTGAAGACTACATCACTTGCCAGTCTACCGGGAATGTCAGGCAGAGTTGATACTTTTAAGACTTCTTGACAAGGTTCTCTGCAGGTATCTCGACAGTTACAAATATCACAACTTAGCCAAAAAGGTCGAAGCTACGGCCAAACTAGCTTTAATGTTATTTACTGTCGGCAGCATTTCATAAATCACACAGAGGAGATGGAGCACCTATGATCAGGTGGCTATCGGGGAGGAGACTCCCCTGTCTTTAGTCAATCAAGAATATTCTCGCCGCAACGTTTATAGTGATAGAGCCAACATTCTCCTGACTGTTGGTCCTGAGTTTGATAGTTGACCTATAACTCACCTGACAGCTGCGGCGATCAGGCTGCAGCAAGTAACCAGGATGACAGCTGCAGACAGCGCCTCCCGACCCATGACGACACATGTGCTGACACCCACCATTGTTCTCCAGGCAGGAATTGATTACTTCCATGTCGATCACTGTGGGTGGAATACAGGCGAGTCCACAGTACAGGTGAGCTCAGTGCTACTGAACAATTAGTAATATTACAGAACATTTAGCAGTACTACCGAACAATCAGCAGCAGAGTCAACACTCAGACAAGGGAAAGTTAGATTTTAAAATTCAGGCTGTGAAAAGGTTAAAATTCAAGGAACAGATGGTTAATTATACACCCAGATGAAGCATCTGAATGGATATTATGCAGTCATAAATATTTACCCAAAGTGTTAAATATTAATATAAAATGTTAATTATCGGTTTCTCCTCAAGATTGTCAGTGAATAAATATTAAAGGCATAAGAAAAATTTCGCTGCTGTGCCTGGAATTGAAAATCCCACTCAGGTCAGGCCAAGTCACGAGTGCTCTGAAGACTGCATCAACTGACAGTCTACCGGGAATGTCAAGCATAGTTGATACTTTTAAGACCTCTTGACAAGGTTCTCTACAGGTACCTCGATAGTTACAAATATCACAACTTAGACAAAAAGGCCGAAGCTACGGCACAGGTTTTTCCTGGAAAAAACCTTAAAGATGTAATTTTGCATGTGGTGGAGGTGGAGGCTCTATCCTCAGTCTGATAATCTTAACCCACTCTACGACAAGTCAAGCTGTTTGGGATTCATACAAATGTGAGATGTGGAGTGGACATGCCTCTATTTCGCAGTCTTCGGGGAATGTATGAATAATGTTCAATGATTTACGTCGTGATTTACAAACTGCAGTCAGGTATGTTGTTAACTAAATGAGAATTATTTTTCACTAGCAGATGTTGCGTTGGCCAGAAGATTAATGTTCTTTTTAACAAGAAAATAAAAGTAGGCTTCGAAGTCAGGAATTAGAAATACTCACTGTAACAGGACTTATGATCGGTACCCAGCTGGTAGCCAGCTTTGCAGAGGCACTCGTAAGAGCCCCAGGTGTTACGGCAGAGTTGGCTGCAGGTGCCCGGTGTGTGGCACTCGTCAGTATCAACACACGAGACTTTATCATTTGCCAGGGTAAAGCCTCTCCTGCAGGAGCACCTCGCCTGACCCATCTCCACCAGGCAGCGGTCTTGGCAGCCGCCATTATCCACAGAGCAAGGGTCCACCATCTCACACCCGCGTCCATCGGGATGCAGGCGGAACCTGCAAAACCAAGCAACATAATTTTCATCAACCTAAAGCCAGTTCGTATCCATAAACCCCGTTTCCAAGTTTTTTGGTTAATAATACGCTGTTTCCACTTCCATGGGAAGTGGAACAGAATTCATCCTCCGTAAGTCATGAGTGTCCTAAGAGACGACTTAAATACCTGGAGCAAGGGGCTAGTAACCCCTTCTGTATACATTTCATTTACCTTTTTGGGTCACCTTGCCTCAGTGGGATACGGCCGGTTCGTTGAAAAACCTACACTGTCAACAAGTGATTTGTACCATATTTAATTTTAAGTAGGCTAGATAGCTAAGATAATTCCAAATCAGTTTTTTTCGCTATCCTCTGAAACATTGCGTTTCAAGGTTAATTATAATGATTTAAGGCAATAACCATTATAAACAGATTTGGAACCGTCATCCTGAGAGTTATCTGACATATCTAAATTAAGTAACTGATTTAAAAAAAATAGTGAGAAATGTGAGTGTTTATAATCGATTGATAATATGGTGTTGTTTATGTGTTTTAATCGACTGTATATTTAAGTTTATGTTTTATTTTTGTCAGGTGATTAAAATAAACCCACTCATCACTATGCTTCTTTCTGAAAGAGTAAAAATGTGTGTATTTATAATTGATTGGTAATGTACTGTTCTGTTTATGTATTTTATGAATTTTAATCAGATGCATATTTTAGTGTATGCTTTACTTTTGCCAGGTGATAAATATAAACCCGCTCCTCACTGTTCTTCCCAGAGGAAAAAATTACCACGACGTGTTGTGCTTCGTAGTGGCTCGTTCTTCAGGATCAAAGCTTTGAAAAAACGCCTCGGTGTCTTTCAGCTGAAGCCATGACAGACTTTCAAATGGCTTTTTGAAAAAAAAAAAACTGTTTCTCTCATGTAAAGATGAAGTTCAAAAACTGGTTGATGCATAAAAAATGGACTGTCACATGTCTTTAAAATGCATTTTTTTATATGCGTCTAAATTTCTTTCCCAAGAGCCTTGGTGGAGTGAACGATGAGCAGAGAAATGCATCTGTCAAGTCGTTCAGGACACAGAATATTGTTACAAGTCTGAGCAAAGTTTACAATAGAAAATCATTCTTATAGAAAATAGAGATAATAGCTGAGTACGTTGAAAATAATAAAAACTACATGATACAACAAACGTGAGTTTAGAGATGATAAACCTTGTGTAACAAAACTATTATTTTATAACAGTAATGAAAATAAAGCTGGAGAAACAGAAAGGGGAGAGAAGAGGTTGGGTAAATTGAATCTTCCTAGACTAAGAATTCATTTGACACATTACCTCACAGGGGACTGCTATATAAAGCAGAACCAACAGGGGTATCAGGGATTATTAATTTTATTATTATTATTATTATTATTATTATTATTATTATTATTATTAGCAGTAGTAGCAGTAGTATTAATGATGATCAGGAAGAAGCGCTAAATTCGTAGGGGTCATACAATGCAGGGAGAACAGGAGACAATCAGGTTCGATTAAGATAGACCCGTTTCATTAGAACAAGAGCCCCTCTCCGGCATCAAGACACCTCCCTAGAAAAGAGAGGTGCCAGATAATGCGCTCAAGAAAATACAAGAAAATTAGTAAATAGAAGGCCTAACACCACAAGACTTTGAAAAGGCAATAAATGTTATATGCCCATACACTCTGCCCAAGGCCCAGACTCATGGAACTCCGTGTTCCAAAAGAACTCCAAGAAACCCTTGTCACGTGTCTTCAGGATTCTATGGAGAGGGAGCATGGACACAGGAGTCATCCCATACTTACTAAAAACAACAGACATAGCCCCACTCTACAAAGGAGGCAGTAAAGAAACCGCAAAGAACTACAGGCCGATAGCACTAATATCCCATATCATAAATATCTTTGATAGGGTTCTAAGAAGCAAGATCGCCAACCACCTATATACTCATCAGTTACACAACACAGGGCAACACGGGTTTAAAGCAGGCCGCTCCTGCCTGTCCCAGCTACTGGATCACTATGACAAGGTCCTGGATGCTGTAGAGGTTAAACAAAATACAGACGTAGTATACACAGACTTTGAAAAAGCTTTCGGCAAGCGTGACCATGGTGTAATAGCGCACAAAATGCATGATAAAGTAATAACTGGAAAGGTTGGCAGATGGATCTATAACTTCCTGACAAATAGAACACAGAGTAATAGTAAACAGAATAAAGTCTGAGGCAGCTACGGTGAAAAGCTGTGTTCCACAAGGCACAGTACTCGCTTCCATTCTATTCCTCATCCTCATATCTGACAGACAGATGTAAGCTATAGCTCCGTATTTTCCTTTGCGGATGACACCCGGATTGCCGTGACAGTGACCTCTATCGAAGACACCGCTAGACTCCAAGCTGACAAACCAAATCTTCAAATGGACCTCTCAAAACAATATGAAGTTCAGTGAAGAGAAATTTCAACTACTCAGATACCGAAAACTTGTATCAGGGTATACGACAAATTCTAGCAATACAATAGAGCGAAAAAGTAATGTGAAGGACCTGGAGTGATACTGTCAGAGGATCTCGCCTTCAAAGACCACAACAATGTATCTACCGCATCTGCTAGGAAAATGATGGGATGGATAACGAGTATCTTTAAAACGAGGGACGCCAAGCCCATGATGATTCTCTTCAAATCGCTTGTGCTCTCTAGGATGGAATACTGCTGCACACTAACTGCCCCCTTCAAGGCAGGCGAAATTGCTGACCTGGACGGCACACACAAGTGCGATAAGGCACCTAAATTACTGGGAACTGTTGAAGGCGATTGATCTATATTTCCTGGAACGCAGGCGAGAGAGATATATGATAATATACACTTGGGAAATCCTAGAGGGATTAGCATACTTGCACACGAAAATCACTCCCTATGAAAGAAAAAGATTCGGCAAGAGATGCAACATTTCCCCATTGAAAAGCAGGGACGCTACGAGCACGCTGAGAGACAACACAATAAGTGTCAGGGTCCCAAGTCTCTTCAACTGCCTTCCAGCATACATAAGGGGGATTACCAATAGACCCCTGGCTGTCTTCAAGAAGGCACTGGACAGACACCTAAAGTCAGTACCTGACCAACCGGGCTGTGGTTCGTACGTCAGTTTGCGTGCGGTCAGCGGTAATAGCCTGGTTGATTAGACCCTGATTCACCATGAGGCCTGGTCTCAGATCGGGCTGCTGGGGCGATGACCCCGAGAACCTCTCTAGAAAAACTCCAGGTAACGCCACGAAAAGAGATGTTGGAGTTCCATTCTAATTACAACTCTCCCAAGGATCAATAGTTGTCCCGAATAATCATTATTTTATTTTCATCTCCCCAATTCAGTGGTTTGTGTTCCACTTTTGTTTCCTCGTTTTATAATTCTGTCGGATATGATGCAAATGTGCCATTGGCAAAACTAAGGTTGTTTCTGTATTGATTCCGGATTCATCCCAGCTAAGTGGCCTGAATGTGTTTTCAAATGCTGTGAGCAAGGCTTTGATATCCTCCTGTATTAATTCTCTTTGTTCTTTGAGTTACCTTTCTGCAGCAACAACAGCAGCGGAAGCAGCCACAGCAGCAGCAGCAGCAGCAGTAGCTATAGCCACAGCAGCAGCCACAGCAGCAGCAGCCACAGAAGCAGCAGCAGCAGCCGCAGCAGCAGCAGCCACAGCAGCAGCAGCCACAGCCACAACAACAGCAGCAGCAGCCACAGAAGCCACAGCAGCAGCAGCAGCCACAGCAGCAGCCACAGCAGCAGCAACAGCAGCCACAGCAGCAGCCACAGCCGCATCAGCAGCCACAGCAGCAGCAGCATTCTTGTGTATGTAGGAGAGCTGCGTTTCCTCATTTTCCAGTTTTCTGATAGCATTAATAAATTTAAATCTACTCAGTAGTAAGATTCTCTCACCATGAAGAAAGTATTAGTATGGCTAGTACAACGATCACCTGAGAAAAAGAAAACACGTACCCTGATGCAAGTGATGGGCTCTTGTTCCTACGATTTGCAGATACTCTCCCTATCTTTGTATCAAACCTGGGTACCTATTCATTCCCTTTGGAATGTGTAACCCTTTCAGTTTCAGTGATTTCAGTGAAGATAATGATAATGATATGTTGCAGTATGACCCATATACAGCCTTAGTACTTTCATGTTAATAATAATAATAAAATAAATAATAATAGAAATAATAGGAATAATAATAACAGAAATAGGAATGCGTACCCAGGTCGGCAGGAGCAGACAAGTCGGCCAGAGGAGTCGTTGCAGTAGTGGTGGCAGCCACCGTTGTTAATGTTGCAAGCCTCCTCACCTGCTCAACACAAACATTAGGTCACTCCACCTAGTATTAAAACACTAATATATGCATTTTGCTCATTAGATTTACTAAGTAAACCATACCATGAATTATATTAGGGTGTGGTTCAAAAGAGAGAGAGAGAGAGTGCAATGACAGTGATGCGACATTAAGTACATAAGAAACAGTAATGGGCGAGTGGTTTTCACGTACGAACGTCGGCCAGACAATGCCTGTAACTTACGTATGCAGGTACGTCCGTCAGGAAGGAGGCGGTGACCTTGACTACAGCTACATTGGTAGGAACCTATGGTGTTGATGCACTCGTGGGAACATCCACCATTGTGTTGCTCACATTCGTCCACATCTATCGGTACATAAACATTGTTTCTGTTAGATGACTCAACTTGACGGAATATAATCCAAGGCAGGTGAGGAAAACTCGCGACCTTCTTAGAACATTTATTAAAAACGCTAATATATCACTTCAATAATTATTTTAAGATGTCTGCACATCTTCCTCACCCGCTATGAAATTTTTTTCTTAGTCATTCCTCTTTAAAGAGCCCTTGACCCTGAGAATTAGAGCTACCCTCTCTATTTCTCGAGAGATTTACCAATACCCTTTAGACAGCTTTAAATTTCGGATATCTCGTCATTGACATTAAAACAGCAATAGGCATCATTGACTGTGTATAGATATTCTCTCAGTTGTGACTGCGTGGGTAAGTACCAGCAGTCATTGGCTCCACATTACGAGCATCAAAAACACTAAATAAAATCTGTAGCCGATAAAAAGGATAAAACATAGCAAATAATATACTTTACAACTGTAAAAACTGATGAGACAGCAACAGTGACACCAATAATAACTGAAACGCTCCCATAAAAAATAATGACAGCCATAAATATTAGGAAAACATGAGCGTTAGAACAAGCATACTAGACCATCTAGAATATTAGAACCCGCATATTAAACCAACTACACCCTTCTAAGAAGGGTACTTTGACAGGATTGTAGATGAATGGTTCAGAGAACCGACATGTTGATAAATTAGACACATGTGCAACTCTTGGGTATCTTTATTGAGGATACCCAAGAGTTGCACATGTGTCTAAATTATCAGGGTACTTTGACGCTTGTGAAGGGATCTACATGCAAGGAGCAGATATTACCCTCCTCTTCCTCGTATCAGATCTGATTACCTCCCATTCCACTGGTGCTGTATCATCCCTATGGGTTGAGCACTTCCCATCGAATATAAAATTAATGTAACTGATAAATGATGATAACGAACTAGAATGTTAGTACCAACAACATATGCAGCGCGTGTTCTCTCTCAGTCTTGTTGCAATGCATTTGAGCAGTTATAAGATATATGGGGAAAAAGAGAGAAAAATCTTCCACTGGTTGTCAACATGATCTTGGTGTCACGATTGCAACAAAGGCAGAAAAAAGGTGGTAGCAACTAAAACACTAACCGGTACTGAGACCGGGACGATGTTTCGGTCCACGTTAGACCATTTTCAAGTAGCAGGTGAGGAAAGACAAGGGGAAGGTCATGAGTCAAGTCAGAGTATTGGGAGGTGGAGAAAAAGTCATTTGTGTTCTGAAAGACTAGATAATTTAACAAAGTGGTACATGAAGTGAATAAAGTGAAACATAAGATTCGATTACCAGTTTGTAGTGTATGTGTGACTTTGTTCAGCCACGAAACTTCAGTTATTATTCAGGAGCTTCAGTAACACTTACCCTGGCAGGAGCGATTGTCAGATCCGAGCCTGTAACCTGGACCACAGCAACACAGGTACGAACCCACAGTGTTCTTACACGTCTGGTCACAACCGCCATTGTTCGTGCCACACTCATCCCGATCTGTCGACACAACACACATCAGTGCACATATTTACGTTGAAGAAAAACTGGGAATAGTTTGACGTATGTCTTGCTATAGAGAAATAGGCTAATAGTGATGAACGCGGTTAGATAAGTGTCCCTTTCTCACTTAGTGGATATCGGATTGAACCACTCTTGTGCAGAACCATAAAGGTTTAGCACTTCACGTGTCGAAATCCCGTCCATACATAAACACATGGGCCGATTCCCACCGAGGCAGGGTGACCCGAAAAAGAAGAAACTCCTTCAACTTCACTCACTCCATCTCTGACTCGCCAAAGGCGTGCCGATACTACGGTTAAACGACCGCAACATTTATCCGCCCCTCCTTCAGAGTGCAAGCACTCTGAAGGAGGGGTGGAGTGTGTGTGTGTGTGTGTGAGAGAGAGAGAGAGAGAGAGAGAGAGAGAGAGAGAGAGAGAGAGAGAGAGAGAGAGAGAGAGAGAGAGAGAGAGAGAGAGAGAGAGAGAGAGAGAGAGAGATTAATAGTAATAAGTGAAAATAAAATAAACAGAATATACGAATTATAATTTAAGATTAAGAGAATATTTTAGTGTGACAGTGATACTTCGTAGTTTTTTCTAAAAATCAAAGGAATGTGAGGTGCCTAGGAGAGGGGGAGCAAAGGCAGATGACTGGAAAAAGGGAATCATGTAATTATAAAAGATCTGCAATTCAAAAAGAGCTAATATATGGAACATAAAATGTTTGGATGAGCGAAAGAAATCCCAGCCAGCCTCAAAACAGGAGGCACTGCCCTCCTGTCGCGAGTAAAACAACAACAAAAAACTCGGCTAAACTTTTTGCACTCAGAACTGCTGTATTTTCCTCTTTGTTTCGGGAAAACGCAAACTGGCAGGTAAACTGAATTAACTCTACCTTGTGAATATGAAAATGGTATACAATACCCACAGGTTGATAAGATATGTGCAACAGTTAGGTATCTTCAGTCGAGTACAGAAGAGCTAGCAGAAGCAGTAGAGATGTGAAAAAGTAATCAGTCCATCACCCTTTAAAGGTGATGGGTTCATTGATTATGTTTTATCTCTACTGCTTCTGCTAGCACTTCTGTACTTGACTGATGAAGCCAACTATGTAAGCGAAACGTATCGGAAAAAAGATACCTAACTTTGCACGTGTGTTACTTATTAACTCTACCTTAATTATTACTCACTTATATTTGCACTCCTGGGAGTTTCTTCTTAATAGTTCTTATATTTAGAAAATTTCCATTGTAATTTCCCTGAAAAAGTAGATATAACGATTATGGTAGCCGCAGATGATTATGGTAGCCGCAGATGATTATGGTAGCCGCAGATGATTATGGTAGCCGCAGACAATTATGGTAGCCACGATTATGGTAGAAAAACGAGACAGTTTTGATATGGGAGTATTTAAATGTGTATGGGTGCTGAACAGATGTTAAAAAAGCTATTGGTGTGAATGAAGGGAAATTCGAAGTCGCTCTCCGGAAGAGACTTCGAAGAGCAAGGTAACGAATGGAAGTCAGATGTAACCCACTGAGTGCGAGAGCTAAAATTATGGGGGAAGCGGCGGTATAAACACTCAGAAACCGGTTAAAATCATTACCATGATTTTTAAAGAGGTGGAACGGTAAGCCAGCGGAAGGCCTCGGTCAGATGACCAAGAGCTCCAGCTGTGAGTCATCATATGGCTATAAAACTCGCGTCAGTAAAAACTCCTGTTACCTGACAAGCCTTACCTAACCTGGCACTCAAAAGAATTTAAATCCAGGAAGCATAACTCAAATTGCAAACAAAGTGAATTAATTTGAAGAAATGTAAGTTTGAGAATGGCTTAGGACGGAAAGAAACATGATAGCTAATACAATCTTTTAAACAAGTTTCCCGAGAAACATCAGCTGCCATCCTCGATCAATTCTGTCTCGTATTTTCCAGATGCTGTATATCATCATCTCAGGTTCAGAGCTTCTCATTAATACAACAATAATACTTAAATTATGGCAGAGCGGACAAGCGGTAAAAAAGACATACGGTAAAAGGAGCCTTTTATTATAAATGCAAGTTCATTTTAACATGATGCATTGCTTGTACAGAAATGAGTGACACTTGAGTGTATGTAGAGAGCCCATGGTTATGCAGAACACTTCGGATGTTTCACCTACACGAGGCTTCATGAAGTCTCATGTATGCGAAACATCGTGCTAATAAAGGTCTTCTTTTGCTGTACCTGTCTCTTTAGCAAAAATAATTAAGAAAGCTTATGAAACTAGGTTATTACTATTGAATCCTAAGGAACACTCTGAAAGGGTTAAATCAATGTTTATTTTAGACTAAAGCGGATAAAACCTGGACGAAAAAGATGAAAAAAAAACATTAGTAATGCTTTAAAATGTGAGTTAAAGCTAAAACAAAAAGACTATAATTAGAAAAAAAAGACGTGTTGAATTATCGCAACAAAATCAGAATCTAACTTTTCTATGCACCTAAGAAACCAGTCAACCAATAACAGCCACGAATGTACAAAATCTCATGTAAAGACAGTGACCATTCATACATGGGACAAACTGGAAGGAGCCTCAACAAGACAAGAAACCACGAACAAAAGTCACTCATTAAATACACACAAGATATGCAATCTTCCCTAGACAAAGTTTTCAACCATAGCAAAGACTCAACACATGTTTTGTTGTTATACCAGGCAGATAAATAAATGAACCTGCTGACTCAAATACCAGTATTTGACAGAGTGAAGGCGCAATCGTAATCGATTAGCCTCATTGTCCCCTCTAGTTACAAATTTTGAGATTTAAAATTTTTGGCTTTCTTCTTCATTATTCCTGTTTCCATCGAGTTATTCCATAGCTATATATACATAATATATATAATATATATAATGTGGGGAGGAATTAACATAATTAACTTTAATCCTAATAAGTCGATATTAGGCGAGTGTAAATTTAACATTATCCCTAAAATCTATTTATTTGGTAATATTCAGATTAATTTTTGCGAGGTTATTGCAACAATCAATAATATTTTGTAAAACGTTCATTGCTCTACGAGCCAAGAGAGCAAAGATTGTATAAAACCAACGGTACAGCCATGACAGTGGCGTCAGTACGAAATGTTTACAGAGGTGCTTTCATGATCCATTGGAAGATGTTCGTAGAGATGCACTCATTACCCAGCTACCGCAAGGTGGTGCACAAGACAGATCTCTGGACCGTGATGGGAATTTTGGCAAGTCCATGAAGTATATACACTGGACTTAAGGATTTGGATTTTGAAATCAGCTTTGATCCTTTTCTTTGGATCAAGTTGATTTCCTTGCCTTCCACTGTCTGATTAAGCGTACCTGGGACAGATAAGTACAGGAGACAGAGGTCACTAACTACGCAGATAAGAGAGAGAGATCAATACGCATAAAGGAGACAGGGGTCACAAACAAAACAATAACAAGGGGCGAGTGTCATTAACCGGACAGGTGTACAAGTGTTCCTAAATCGTGCAGGAGACAGGTGTTACTAACAGATAGGTACAGGAGACAGGTATCACTAACACAGATTAGGTGCATGAGACAGGTGACACTAACGTAGACAGATACAGGAAATCAGTTTCACTAACAAGACAGGGCTAAGAGACAGGAGTCCCTAACAGTTGTAAAAGACAGGTGTCAAACACACACATACAGGAGACAGGTGTCAAACGCAGTTACAGGAGACAGGTATTAATTACACAGATACAGGAGACAGGAGGTTCGTCTAACAAAGCAGAGTGACTAACAACAGACAGGTGCAGGAGACAAGAGGTACTCACCATACTGACAATGGGTGCCGTAGAAACCTCTGGGACAGATGCAGCGGTTGTAGAGACAGCGGCCAAAATTGTAGCAACTGATGCGGCCACACACAGCTGTAACTATACACATGAGCAACACTGCCCGCATCACGCCCACAACTGCACTACACCTGCACTATACCTCCACCACACCTGTCCTCTCCTTAATCATGCTTGAATTATTGTGTTTTTCATTTGTCTCATTTTATCCGAATATTTCTCATACATAACGTATTAAATTACTAACTTTACCTGTAAGCAGAATGTGATATATAAATAAATTATATACATAAAAAAATTCTGTAAAGACGTGGGTGTAAACATGTGAAATATCACTGGTATTTTTTCCCAGATATTTTTTACTGTGGCCTTTTTCGATGTGTTTAGTTTAAATATTTATACCCTTATATATGTACGAGTCCTTGAGGTGGGAAGTACAGTGTCTGCACTGTGGTGATGCTTCAGTTGCTGGGCAACCCCCAGAGAAAGCACGTTCATTAGTCATTCAATCGTCGTCTTGCCAGAAGTGTGCTGAGATCACAATCAGATAACCCTGCAACTGAAGCATCATCCCCCCACCGCCCCTCCAAAGTGCAGGCACTGTACGTGCAGTTAACCGGGTTCCTCGAATCCCTTCACGCTCGAACAGCACGTCCATTAAATACAACTCGTCTCCTTTCACTCCAGTCTAACACTCACTCAACCCTGCTAAATTCTCAAGCCTCCAATTCTCAAGGTCAGTGCTGATTAAGCCTGGAAGAGACATTTGGAAATAATTTCGTTTTGCCTTATTCTTACTGCCGAGAGATTTAACAGTATGCTCAATTAATGCAAATGGAAAGTATATCAACGGCTATCGTAGTTGATGAGTGGGGTTCAAATACAATCTATAATATCCCCATTTTTAGTGGAATCTTTAATGTTGTTACCCTGTACACCTAAACAGATGTAATTAAAGCGAAAATAAATGGGGTTATCAATTAAATATTGGCAAATAATGAAAACAAGGAAATAAAAAATAGCAATATAAAATTTTTGAGTCATATTGTAGAAATAGAGAATACAAGATGAATAAGTAGGATAAAACTCAACAGAAATAATGAAATTAAACTTGGGCTCGACCATAACTGTTGGCCAGACTCCTCGCACAAGTTTGTTGACAAAAGTGTGCGGACAAAGTCAAGTTTCTGGAGCCTTCATGTTACCTGACAATTTTTAGAAGGCCGCCGTGCTGGAAAACGCTCTTCTAACGTAGTCAAAAGAGACTGTGCTCAATTTAGAATAATGGACATAGAAAAAAAACTGTAGCCTTAAAAATTTGAACAGTATATTAGCTGCAAAATAATATCCAATCTATAAAGGCTATTGTTTTATCTGTTGTCGGGAAGCAGGCGAGCCCCCTTCCATCCCCCTCACGTATACACACTTCTCATACACAACGGTTCCCCCTCCTCTACCGTTTATATTTTATACAGTGTTTACTCCCTATCTCCCCTCCTTTACCTCCATTCCCTGCCTCCCTTTCCCACTTCTTGCTTGCGTTCACCCCTTCCCAGAACAACCATCAAAGCTTGGAATGAAACACAGAGTAAACAAGACTGTTGATAGCACAAGCAAGGAGACACATTTACATATTCCCTCGCATGAAGCACCACAAGCGCCTAAAACATTATACTAGATACACTCTGTTCTGCTGTTTCTTTAACTGTGTTGAAATCTGCCGCAGGTACGAAGATGATTACTTAATAACTGAGTTGGTTATTTTGTGGCAAACCGTCGTCAGATTTCCAGAAGAGGTAACTACTACCACCTAGACGCACGCTTCCATCAGAGGGCTTGCTTAGGTGCTGGTGAAGGGCTTTTGGTTCAAGGAATGGAAATCCTAATCACCTCCCATTTCCCTTACGAGTTCATAGCTTCCCTATAAAAATGACAGTATGTATATTATATATATATATATATATATATATATATATATATATAATATATATATATATATATATATATATATATATATATATATATGCAATAAGATCACAGTGAACAGGTGATTTCAAAATATGCAAAACAACCACTCTGAAAGAATAGAGAAATTCCAAGCGCTTTCGTGACTACTCACATTATCAAGGAACTATAATGTGAGTAGTCACGAAAGCGCTTGGAATTTCTCTATTCTTTCAGAGTGGTTGTTTTGCATATATATATATATATATATATATATATATATATATATATATATATATATTATATATATATATATATATATATATATATATATATGCCCAGGTGATATTCTAATGGCATTGTTCTCAGTGTTTTTATTTGATATACCTTATATGCAGAAAGAAATCTGTGTAGGATATTCAACGCAGGAATTGATGGAGGTTCGGTCCTCCATCCTCTTATCGCAACATAAACATAATATCTACCTATACTGATACAAGTACAGTTAAGTTATGTTCATCTTATGACTTACTTTTGTTAGCATAACAAAGAAAATAATAATTATTTTTATTACAGCATGTTACACTGAACTGGTAGAGGTTATTCAGCAACTGGGAATGGGAGGCAATGAGATTAGATTCAAGCAATTGAAAAGAGGCTCTTATCCCTTGGATTAAAGCCCTTCACCGACATTAAGTCCCCTTTACACATTTACGGAGGACTAAATCCGCAGGGGGTCAGGCAAGGCCTGCAAAAAGGGCGGCAAATAAGTTTGACCCAAGAAAATAAAGGATAGTGTACAGGTACACTAGATGTACAGTGTGTGTGTGTGTGTGTGTGTGTGTGTGTGTGTGTGTGTGTGTGTGTGTGTGTGTGTGTGTGTGTGTGTAACACCCAGGCCATTTAATTCCTTCAGTATCTCCTTTACATTTCACTCTCCCCAACAGCACTAACTCTGTTCCTCACCATTAACTCTGGAGTATACCTAGAGTGTTACGGGGGTCAACGCCCCCGCGGCCCAGTCCATGACCAGGCCTCGCGGTAGATCAGGGCTTGATCAACCAGGCTGTTACTGTAGGCTGCGCGTAAACCAACGTACGACAAATCTCGGCTGGCCAGGTACTGACTTTAGGTGTGTCCAGCTCCATCTTGAAGACAGCCAGAGGTCTATTGGCAATCCCTCTTATGTCTACCCCATGTTCCCAATTCAAGGGGTGTCTTGATGCTGTGCTCATGATCCGAGAATAATTATGATCATGGGGAGCGCTAAACCCGTAGGAATATACAGCGCATGTGCGTGGGGGGGGAGATGAAAGGCATTCAGGTTCAATTCAGGGAACCGGAGCACAAATCTAATTCCCTAGATCAGGAGCCCCTTACCAGCGTCAAGGAACCTCCCTTGAGGGGCATGATCCGAGGAAAAAGAGCTACTCTCCCCATATTTATCAACTTGTGTTATAATAAGACACTTGTGCTGTAATGTCTTTAATTCCGAAATGTTTCGCCTACACAGTAGGCTTCTTAAAGTTGACGTGATCAGTCCATTATCTTTGTAGTAGTAGTTCTGAGGTGATCAGTCCCTCAAACTCGAAAAGCGTTCAGCTCTATATACTTAATTATAATTTTAGTGTCGTCTATAATAACGAGTTTGTGTATATCTTGTGTCCTTCATTTAGCAGAGACATTGTAAATAAGACATTTACCCCACTAAGAACTCCATCAAATTTTGAATCAACAAAGTCCCTGAAGGAAAAAAAGTTCTTACATAAAAATGCAAAAACTCGAGCACTGTCTTATTTACGAACTGATTAATTAGACACCTGTGCAACACCTGGCTAGCTTTATTTCGAAGACTTTTCGCCAACAAGAGGCTTTTTTAATTTAATACAGAAATCGAATGACAGAAGATAATGAGGTAACCAGTCCCTCAGCCTTGCTAAACTATACACAGAACTAATGGAAGATGAGATGATCAGAACTATTTGTAAAACGGTGTATAGTGTATGGTGTATTTTGCAATTATATCACACGTCTCTCTCATAGTTTTATGGGGTACTTATTTCAATGTTAATTTCTCAAATTTAACTGAAGAGAGTTTATTTAAAATTCATACACGATCGTCTTGGAGCCTTTTCATTTACTGAATAAGTTTACATTATTTTAATCACGGGGGAAGCGCTAAACCCGTAGGATTATACAGCGCCTTGGGGGCGGGATGTGGAAGGCATTCAGGCTTAATTCGGGGAACTGGAGCACAGATCCAATTCCCTAAATCAAGAGCCCCTCACCAACTTAAAGTTTACAACCTTCTGTTTGTAGTACTTTAAATTATCAATGTTTTCTTTGATGAATCACAGAGTTAAAAATCTGAACGGTTCATTAAATCTTTAAAAGGTTATACGATTTAGCTTTTAATGTAATTCCATTTAGCCGTCTTGGAAATGTAAAATTTATATCTCACACGCCATTAAAAGTTCAGAAAATTAAACTTAAATCAGGATTCTGAATGAAGATTCTCTGCATTTTCCTCTGTTCTACCACGAAACCCTTTCTTTCCTCCCTTACTATCTTTCCACTGCCCCACTCGATAAAACCCACTGGCCCGAAGGGAAGAGACTTAGCCTGGCAGAATACTCATCAACATGCACGATGGGATGTGTAGTGGGCCATCCCAACCTGTGTGTGTGGTGTGTGTGTGTGTGTGTGTGTGTGTGTGTGTGTGTGTGTGTACTCACCTAATTGTACTCACCTAATTGTGGTTGCAGGGGTCGAGACTCGGCTCCTGGCCCCGCCTCTTCACTGATCGCTACTGGATCCTCTCTCTCTCTGCTTCCTGAGCTTTGTCATACCTCTTCTTAAAACTATGTATGGTTCCTGCCTCCACTACTTCACTTGCTAGGCTATTCCACTTGCTGACAACTCTATGACTGAAGAAATACTTCCTAACGTCCCTGTGACTCGTCTGAGTCTTCAGCTTCCAGTTGTGACCCCTTGTCCCTGTGTCCCCTCTCTGGAACATCCTATCTCTGTCCACCTTGTCTATTCCCCGCAGTATCTTGTATGTCGTTATCATGTCTCCCCTGACCCTTCTGTCCTCCAGTGTCGTCAGTCCGATTTCCCTTAACCTTTCC